CACACACACACACACACACACACACACACACACACACACACACACACACACACTGTTTTCCTAAATTGGACTTTTGAGAGTATGCACTAAAATAAGCCCTCCCTGAAAATATTACAACACAGCAGCAGCCATGAGGTGACCACACTTGCTGCCTCCTGCACCTCAAAAATAATAAGCCCTCCCTGAAAATAAGACCAAGCGCTTATTTTGAGGGGCAAAAGAAAATATGACCCTGTCTTATTTTGGGGAAAAATGGTATGCAGGCGTGCGCGCGCGCACACACACACACATACACACTGCTGTGGTGCACAAACTGAAAGGGAATGATAGAGGATGCATAAATATGTGGGAGAAAATCTAGATTTATTGAAAAATTGCAGTTATAAGAACAGTGCAATAATTATGTTTAAAGAATGCAATGTATGAATTTGTAACTATTGTATTATTTCTTTAAAATTAAGATTAAAATTGCCCTTGTACCTGCCCTCAAAGATAAAACAATAACTGATACTTGTGAATTCCTAGCTTTTGTTCTTTTACTTTAAGAATTGCATGTTCTTAATTTTTTAAGTCACAAAATATTTATCATTTTCGTATCAATTCTCAAAACATGGGTTTGCACCTGGGTTTCTAAATGCTTATCTTCTATTGTTTTACTTTGCTTAATGCTTGTATATTGTTACCAGTACCAATCCAGCCAAAGAGAATTGTAGTGAAGACAGAATCTATAAAGAACTGTTTCCTTTATAATTAAAAGTTTTTGTTAAGCAATGTAATTTTTCTTAAACCTGGATATAGACCATTCCTCCACTTGTCCTCCTAACTGAAAATCCAAGTTTTCTTTGCATTGTTATATTTGGTATTCAGATAATTTCCAGTTTTCCAAATATAGAATCATCAGCCTTCCACCTGCAACACACCCAAAATCTAAATGAAAAATGAAAAAGATGTCACTCTCTGCTACATAGTAGGATAGAAAGAGCAAAGCAATGCAGAGAGAGAGAAAAAGGAAGAAAATGAAATGACTGAGGAATTTTGCTCAGGGCTCCTACAATCAACATTCATTGATGATTTAATAGTTCTAGTCCTGGTCAGATTGCTTAATAGAAGTAAAAGATTCTAACAACTTTATTATAGAAAGGGGAGCTTACTTATTTTGTTCACCCCCATTATTTCATTTTCAGTACGAAGGCAGAAGTGAAAGCAACCTGATTTTTCCAATTTTCCAGCAATGAAAAATAAATCTGGAGACATAGACTTATTTCAGTAGAATAGGAATAAAAGCAAGCAATTTGGCAAGTCTAGTTAGTGACTTCACTGCAAATATGGGTCAATTGTTCTGGTGTTCTAGCACAAGTTTTCAAAACCTTTTGGCTGTGCAATCTGTTAGTTTAAAAAATAATAATTCTTGAAGCTCTGGTCAAGAACTAAAGTTGTAGGCTGCTTTCAAGAGACTATTTCCCCCTCTCATGAAACCCTAACCCTAGGTTCTGTGGAATTCAGTTTGAAAAGTCCTGCATCTAAAATTGCATAATTGAAGGCGAGAAGGACAAAGGACGGAAATGCTACTGATAATTCAGAAGCAATTTAGGAGAAGGTTGCAGGAGCTGTGCATCATGAACCCATAATCTGCATAGAATAATAACCTGACTTAAACATTTTTAGGAGCTATGAGACTCCCTCCTATTTAGTTTCTACTTTGAGGTGGTAGTGAGAAGGAAATTACAACCTACCTTAACTATATTATCAATAATGGCTTTGTCCAATCAAGTAGTCTTCTGCTGTGTTGCAGCTGCATTTCTCAGACTACAGAAGTCATGTTGGCTGGGCATTTTAGACACTACAGGTCCAATTCATTGTAAAATGCCAAGTTTGGATAACTGGTGAAACCTGTGGACTAAAGATGTAACAAAATAATTCATTCCACTATGTGGCTCATCCAGACTTCGCTTTTAGAAGATGGAAGAGTTGTACAGATTTCTAGTGTGTCCTATCTTCCATATTCTATCACAATGATGGTGAATGTTTTCTGCTCGGGTGCCAAATGTGTGCATGGGTGCGCAATAGCACATGTCTGTGTGCCCACACCCATAATGCAATGCCCTCCCCCTAAGCATACACACACAACCCCATGCACTCCTCCCGCCATGCATGCACACAGTCCTCACTGAAGCCTCCATACTTCCAGTAGGCCCATTGGGCTGTTTTTCATCATCCACAGGCTCCAGAGGCTTTCCTGAATATAGCAATAGCAATAGCAGTTAGACTTATATACTGCTTCATAGGGCTTTCAGCCCTTTCTAAGCGGTTTACAGAGT